TTATTTAATAAGATATTCTTTTATTTGCTGACCATTGATCGACATCTTCTTTAACCCATCCCCTGTGACTACGTACTAATTCCATATCCATCAAGCAGAGATATCATTTCAACAACTGTGAGTAATGCTACGGAAAAATCCATAATGCTGTCTTTGTGAAGGTAGCAACGAAAACCCTATGATATTACAATGGAATTTTTATAATATAGAAAAGATATAATGTGCAAAGAAACATTTTGACTTTGGGAATTGAAAAAGAAGTATTAAACAAAAACCTATTAAGAAACTGTCCACTAGATTTACTTATTTTAATTTCATGCTAGCAATATTTGCACAAGTCTCTTTCCACAAATAATAATATGTTAGAACTTATTGAACAGAACCTTGTAAACAAAATATTTGTATTTTTGAAAAAAAAAAAAACTGCAGGTGCCAAATAAGGGCCTGTCTTTCAGGCCGTCACACTCTGCTAGGGGCTCATTTACACTAGCACCCTTTCTTTTTTCCTGTCTTTGTAACGACACTTGTCTCCCATTGGCTTTGGTCACGATATCTGCATATCCATAGGATACAAGATTCAGTAGTTGTTTTTTTGTCGTTCCAAGTTCTTCAAACCTCCTGTCGATGCCCTGGGCATTCTCTATGATGTGCACATATGGGGAGGGGAGGGGGGAGTGAAACAGATAAGACTACTTTATTTTACAGCTCAAAATACTTGTTCCACTTATAATATTAGGCACATTACTAAACCCAATTAAATAACAATGGCGCCTGTCATTATGTATATCCAGTAATGTGAAAACAATGCAGAAGTAACCAAGCCATAGGATAAGTTTATGGGAAATCCTTTTAAGGATTTACCAACTTCTGTGACTTTAACAAAGGAAATCATGTTGAGTTAAAAGGAGTAAAGCCTTAAAAACATCCAAACAAAATTATTAAAAATTTTCAAACATTTTTTTATGCAATTCTTATTCATAAAACATATATAAAATTCTATGTATACTGATATAGCATATCAATGCCACTTGTTATTTTTGCAGAGAAACAAATACAAAAAAACAACAACGAAACAACTAGGTAAACCTTTATCTGACACATTATCACATAAATATGTAGTACACAAAATAACACTGTCAAGACAACTACCCTCAAGTAAGATAGTAGATTCCACTGCAACTGAACTGCAAGCGTTCTGGCAAATTGCACACTATAGGTACATGTAGTGCCCAGGTTTCAGGCTCAACCTTTACTTAATTCTGTAGTTGCAAGATTATGATTTGTAAACCATATTTTTATGCATTGAAGTAAAGCAGATATTGAAAAATCACATCTTTTCATGAACTTCACAACTTCACAAAATCCAACATTCTAACCTGTGATCACCTTTATTACCGTAAGGTATAATATTTGAGGATTAAAATTTAAACAGCTGTTACACTTTTGTAATAACAGTAAGATGCTGATGAAGAAAACTTATGTTCAGTGACTTAGAGATCAATATATTAAACAGTTGTGCTAAATGTTGTGAAGTTTTGGAAACAAAGAATTTTGTCATTATGTAAAATATGAAACTGATTTTAACAATGTATCAGTATATACTGAACATTGATATTTTGAAATTTAGAAAATATTTAGCTTTGTTTCAAACTCTAGGCATATAATGATTGAAATTTAAGCATTGTAGATATATTAGTATCCCTAGAGAATATCAAACATGTTTGTATTGTGATGGTAATGTAGAAGATAAGTTTCATTTTGTAATGACTTTGTGATTGCTACACAGATATTTGCATAATGTATTTTTCTGCCAAGTATTATGATGTTCCAACTTCACAGTCTTTTTACCAGTTAATGTCATGTTCTGATAAAAATACTGTCCAAAACTTGACATTGTATCCTAGAGTCATTAGTTTTGACGCCCTTAAGCTGTTTAACTAGTGCATTTTTTTATATTTAATTTGATCATTAAATAAATACAATATAAAGTTACTATGGCATGTTGTTTATCACTGCAAACCTTTTTTATGTTTGTAAAAAGTTCAAAATCACTGAAGTTTTGTACTTAAGTAACTGACCCTGGAGGCATCCATTGTTGTTTACAGTCATATGAAATGACGCCTTTTCATTGGGTGGTTATTTTTAAAGGATATTTCACTGTAATGCAATATGTACAGCAAAAGAAGTTTTTAAATGAGCAAACATTTAATGTAACAACATTGTGAAAACTTAAAATTATGTTTTATTTCATATAAAACTGTCCATTATTTGGGAATGCCATACACCCTGGCAGTCGTCTTAATAGGTGCACCTGTCTCTTTAAGCTTGAATGTATTTACCAATAATCTTGATGAATAGCATCTGCTTTTGGTTTACAGAGCTGAAAAATATATCTAAAATGAAAGGTGTTGTAAAGATATGTATATGTTGATTTAAGAAATGATTTTTTTTCTTTCATTTTTAAACTTTATATACAATAATCAACCCATTGTGAATTTTACTCAGTATCAATTAAAAACCCATTAAAGTTTTCAAACAATATAAGCTGTACACCTTTTGCAACAGTGAATATTAAGGGCACTTTGCAAAGTTTTGGTCACATGACACTCATTAGACATTTTAAAATGGAGGACTGAAACAGAAAAGGGCAGGTCAAGATTTTTCAAAGGCTGTATTTGCAATATTAAGGCTTGCATAAACATTGATTGATTTTGCATTAGTAAAAAGATGAAAACATAAAGTAAATTTGATAAAGGTGAAGTATTTTTAGTGAAATGTCTCTGTCTTTCCAAATGTTTTAGTTATACGTTGTAAATACATGGTTGCAGTGCAGTCAGCAAATTATGACGGCATACGAGGTCGTTTTCACCAATTCTTAGGTCAAAACAAAAATGGCGTTAAAATAGATGAGCGTCAAAACACATGACCTGACGATATATTTATCATGCCTTGACAAAAAGAAACATGTATTCATCTGTGAAAATGTCACTTTATATGCAATTGAACAATGCTTTTAATAATGTGATTATATGTTTAATATTATTTTACTTTTCCTTGTCAAAAGTCACAAAGCAATAGGGATGGGTACCACCAATTTTTTTGTACCGCGGTATATCGCGGTATTTCACCTGTGTACCGCGGTATGTACCACGGTATTATGAAGACACTTTTTAATGTTTAACTTATGCAAACTAAGACCAACTGCCATAAGAATGTTTAAACATTTTGATAAAACACAATACATTTTAGACTTTTGGAGCCCAAAATGCCTCCAAATATCCGATTTCCCCTTTGGATTTTTGACCGTGGTGAATTCGTCCATGACGGTATGAGCTGTTTACAAGTTGGGCTATGTCTAAATGCTTTACGTTTTGTTATTGTCGCCACTCGTCAATACGTCAACATGTTTACTAGCCTTAGACTGAGCACTAACATGGGTGTCCCCTTTTAATGCATTTAAATGAAGAATGATATATAGAAATTATAAAAATGTCGGCGGATGAAATGTATTTACACTACATAATAAATATGAAAAACAACCGGGAAACGATCTGACCTTTCCGCGACTAATTATTCGTTAGAGTATTATACTGTGCATTTACTGCTGCTCTAAAAATTGACTTGGAATTCCACTTTAATTTAGGTTGAAAGTTGAAACACAGATTACAGGGTAAATAACGTCCGAATCTTACAAAAATATTATGTAAAATTATATATATTAAAAAACCGGTATTCCTAGGGGTCGTACCGGTACGTACCGCGTCTGAACGAAACCGCGGTATACCGGTATACCGGTAATACCGCACATCCCTACAAAGCAATATGATGATTGTAATGTATTTTTTGTACTTGACATATTATTTATTCATGGAATCTGTTTGTGTATGGGCCGGAGGCCATTAATAATACAGAAAAGAATGGAATTGAAAGAAAAATCAAACAATTAAAATTATTTAAACTGGTTAAAGAATCAAGCAGATGGGCTGACAGAAGCGTCTGTTTGGCACCAAATGCCATATGATGGGAGAAAAAATATTTTATACCTTATTCATAATAATTTATTTCAAAAAGTATAAATTTTCAGAACAATCTCAACAATTATAGTTATATAATTATATTATGTAGACATTCTAAAAAAGTTCAAAATACAAGTTGTTATTCAATGCAAATTTGCCAGCTTTTAAATTTAAAGTTGCCCTACAATTTTACTTGTCTTTTTGTGACATATCGTTTTATAATGCACCAGTTTGCAGAAAGCTTGATATAATTATGTAAACATGTGTTACACAAATAACCTGTTTCAATTCAGACTCCCTATGGCATTCTTTGTTTTATGACTGACATTATTAAGTATTATTGTTAATAATAGCCAGTTTAGAAGGTCAAGTCGACAATCTGGAGTTTTCAGTATGATTGAAAAGAAGCTGGTTGTTGTTTAAAGGCCCATTATACCCAAGAAATGCTTTTATTTATAATTCTCAAAAGCTTTTTACTTTAGGTGTGCTGTTATAGTTTCCAAAAAGTTACTCATTTGCCAGCTACCTTAACCATCTTTTGCTTCTTGGCAATTAGTACAGTTATAGTGATTAACTTAATCATTAAGTATTTTGTATGGAAGTCAAAGTACTACTTTAACTTAGTTTACATTTTACTACTTTCATGACAAATAATTTCACATCCATCACTTCTTTCTTCTGGGGATGAGCATCTAATATGCTCTAAATTCATATTTTAATTGTTAAAAAAACTCTTGTTTGCTCTTTCTAAAGAAGGAAATTTTTATTGTTTTTGAGGCATGATGTGACTTTAAAGAAGAACTGTACATTGTATATATTATCAGTAATGCAAAGGAAATTACAAAAATTAAGTCAGGTGGCCTTTAACATGTTGCTGTAAACTGGTAATTATGAATACCCAGATACAATGTACTTCATCTGGTCTTTATAAGCGTGACAAGGTTTTTAGCAAATTTACTATCATTATGTTTATTTATCTTTCAGATGAAAACTTTCCTTACTTAGTTACATAGAAGCAATCCTTTATCCAGTATGGAGAATGTAGATTTGAAATCAGACGGTGATACTAGTTTACATTACACAAACTCCGATGATTCCGAACCGGACGGATATCCTGAAGCCGTCGTGCAGACGGACATAAGTTCTCCACCGATGCCACATGTTGTACAGGGATCATATAAAGGAGTCAAGTTTGTCATAGAGTCTAACGCAAGTGAAGTTGTTGCTGGTGATTCAACGACTGTCGGTATTGGTGGGGATGCGGTAGATGAAGGTCAAGGTCATTTCCAGGCATGCATGATCTGTGGAGACCGGGGATCGGGATATCACTACTCAGTGTTATCATGTGAGGGCTGTAAAGGATTCTTTAAAAGAACAGTGCAGAAAAACTTGTTTTATGTCTGTAAAGTAAATGGGGTGTGCTTGATCAATAAGATGACCAGGAATAATTGCCAGTTCTGTCGTTTTCAGAAGTGTCTGCAGTATGGCATGAAAAGAGAAGGTTTGTAATGTACCTATTTCTCTCTAGTACAGTCACACTGCAATTCTGCATCTTAACTTAAGATAAGTTTAAGGATTATGAATTGAGAAAAATGGTAAAAAAAATTTCTACCATGAAATTAACATTTGTGAAATTGTATGGATTTGACCTGATTTTAAATTGGAACGGTTCCATTTGAAAATTACGGGATTTCAATATAAAAAAAAAACAACCAATAGAATAGAGCCTAGTCAGACTAGACTGCCTTTATATGTCAAGCTGGTTCAGCTCTAAACTGGTGGCAATGATGAATAAGCTAATATTCCAGCAAATTATTGGTTAATAGATGTTTTTTGTTTTTTTTTATCTTCTGCAAAATGGCTCAAAAATATCTGTTAAGAATATTATAAAGTTACAGTGTATACAGCTACATGTATAACAGTCATTAACACTGTTATTTTAGTGCATAGTTTGTGTATCTTTTGAATACCATAATCATAGTCATTGTAAACCTTTTTCATACTTTTACTATATTTATCAAACTAGATTTACACAATCTGGTTGTGTCATCTGCTTTTTGAATCTATAATATAATGATAAAATCTTCTTGCATATCAGACAGGATTATCTACAGTTTACATGGGTGCTAGAAATACCTGTCTTACACCCCCCCTCCCCCCCATTTAAGACAAGTCACGTGCTTTAAATGATGCCATTGTCCCATTGTCGCGCGCCTTTTATGAATGAATTACATTTTTAGGTGGACGTCATTTTTCTGTTATGAATGAAGTTGTAAGTTCATACGCTACTATAAGAAAAAAATACGTAATGAGAATATCCATTTTCGTAATTTCTGTTCTGAAAATAATTGATAGAAAAAGAATGAAACACTGGCTGTTGTCACAGACTGGAATATCTAGCGCTCGGGTAAACTGTTTAGTTGAAACTCAGCAGAGCCTTGTTCATGTGTAAACAGTTACTCTCAAGCTGGATATTCTGGTCTGTACTTGCAGCCAGTGTAAGATTCTTATAATCTGCAAGTACAAAATATAATACTTTTATACAGTTATTTCTGTGTCTTTTTTTTTCAAGGTAAAATAGGTAACAGTTGTATTGATTTATAATATCTGACTAATTAAGGCTTTGTTAAATTTTCTCCACTGTCATAGTGACAAATTAAAGCAAAACTCCAGTTATTGAGTTTCTTTTTTCAATTATTTGACAACAATCTGTCGAAGGCCGTGTTATTCAGGTGATAATTATAGAAAAGTTAATAGCATTTTTCATTAGAGCCTAAGTGAAAAAAAACTTAGAACTTATAGGATAATCGTGATATTGGTATTTGACATTTGTCATTTGTAAAAAAAAAAAAAAAAAAAAAAAATTATTACGTTTTACTATATTTACAAGAATATCTTGTAGATTTTCACAGTTTATCTGAGTTGTGGATATATAGAAAAATAGTAAACATTTTGGACACAGTTGTAACATTCAGATCACATCATTTAAGTGTGCTGTGTAATTGAGCATGGATTTACAAACTACTTGTAAGTCACCGGGTTTCTCTTTGCCATTTTTAGAGGGTGATTTTGTAAGTTATCTTAATAATGCTGCAAACACCGAGCTGCTTGATCATTTATATTATTTTTATAAAGGAAGGTCATGTTTGTTTAAAAAAAGTCATATGTGTTCTAAAAACTCATTTTTTTGTTTTGTTTTGTGAGTTGCTTGTTCATGTGCATGGTGCAGTTCAGGATATGGTGAACATAATTGCCATTGTCATGGAAAAGTGCAAAATTTTAGTTTATGCAAGTCAATAGAAAAGGCAAAATTGTAGTTTATGCAAGTCTATAGTAAGGGCAAAATTGTAGTTTATGCAAGTCTAAAGGGAGGGCAAAATTGTAGTTTATGCAAGTCTATAGTAAGGGCAAAATTGTAGTTTATGCAAGTCTATAGTAAGGGCAAAATTGTAGTTTATGCAAGTCTAAAGGGAGGGCAAAATTGTAGTTTATGCAAGTCTATAGTAAGGGCAAAATTGTAGTTTATGCAAGTCTAAAGGGAGGGCAAAATTGTAGTTTATGCAAGTCTAAAGGGAGGGCAAAATTGTACATGTAGTTTATGCAAGTCTATAGGAAGGGCAAAATTGTAGTTTATTCAAGTCTATAGTAAGGGCAAAATTGTAGTTTATGCAAGCCTATAGTAAGGGCAAAATTGTAGTTTATGCAAGTCTATAGTAAGGGCAAAATTGTAGTTTATGCAAGCCTATAGTAAGGGCAAAATTGTAGTTTATGCAAGTATATAGAAAGTACAAAATCTAAGTTAATGCAAGTCTATAGTAAGGGCAAAATTGTAGTTTATGAAGGGCAAATTTGTAGTTTATGCAAGTCTAAAGGGAGGGTAAAGTTGTAGTATATGCAAGTCTATAGGAAGTGCAAAATTGTAGTTTATGCAGGGCAAAATTGTACATGTAATTTATGCAAGTCTATAGGAAGTGCAAAATTGTAGTTTATTCAAGTCTATAGTAAGGGCAATATTGTAGTTTATGCAAATATATAGAAAGGGCAAAATTGTAGTTTATGCAAGTCCTTGTTAGTGCAAAATTGTAGTTTTTGCAAGTTTTCTGGAAGGGCAAAATTTTAGTTTGTACAAGTCTGAGTAAGTACAAAATTGTAGTTTATGCTGATAATGCATGTCTATAGACAGTGCAAACATTAAGTTATTGTAAGTTTATAGTACATGCAAACTTGTTGTTCAGCTGTTCCCGACTGTGAAGATATCTTAATTTAATTCTGACACATGTTCATGTTTACTTTAATTACCACCTGGTGACCATAAAATATGTGCTCGTGTATTTTATTTGATTTCATCATTTTGATATTATTGATTATTGCTTCATGTGTACATGTAATTTACTTGCTCATATCAGCATTAAAATTGATCTTCATCTAATTGATAAACTTTATAAAGATGGAAAGTCACCATATTACCTATACTGTGTCAGTTTGACTTATAATCAAACAAACAGGTACATGTTCAGTTAGTTGTTTTGCATATTTTCAAATCAAGATTACATTTAAGTTCATAAAAAGTTCAAGTTTGAATTTTTAACATAGTGAATACTAATGTACAGATAATGTTTAGACATTGTCACTAGCATAGCTAGACTTTATTACATGTGAGACAAGACTTATTATGTATGATTGCTAAATTTTTTAGCATTAATATAGTACTAGTATACTTTGAAATACGATGTATACATTGTTATTATGCCTATGCCAGGAGAATTATGAGTTCCTTAACTATATGTGTGCTAGAGTATCTGTACAAGTAATGAAAATCAATATTTCCACAACAATGTCAGACATATGGTTTGAACAGTTTGTAACAGTTTTGTAACAGTTATTGGCATGTCCCTCCTCTTGTGCTCTTTCTTGTTGTTTTTTTTTGGTTCAGAAGCTTCTAAGTACCTTGCTAGTATGACTGGATTGTGTTAGGGCAGTATTCTGTGAACATTGTCTTGCCTTGTTGATCTTTCTTCTCTTGTTTTCTTTTCTTTTATTTTCCTGTACAATCTGACTGAGAATTAATTAAAGGACAACTTTTTTCTACTTAAATTCATCTGTAACTCACATTGCTTTATACCAGGCCCAAGCTGAGTGTGCTAGGTAACAGTTTGAAAAAGTTTTTGCTTTTCTTCTGTTGCTGCACAGTATAAACTTGAAAATACATTCATGATTTCTGTTGAAAATGTTAGTTGTTAACTGTCAATTTCATGATTTGTACTGAAATAGCTGATAGTTGTTGCGTGGAGGTGGGGTACATGTTAATACCCAGGACAGCTGTTACTGAAGGTTATTTGCCCCCGTGATTTGACCCAAAAAATGTGTTTAAATTGACTTAAAAACCTGAAAAGCAAACTATCAATACTGCAGAATTTCACAGTATAAATGTTTCATTAGTATAATGTGTTGCATTCCATGCTAAAATATGGTGATAATTATGTATGACAAGATTGTCTTAGATTAATTGACACCTTATGATTAGTTTTGTTTCTACTACATGTATAGTGAATGACTTATGTTAGTAAAAAAATGCATATTAATTTTCCCATTAAAAAACCTATAGATATTCATTTGATAAAATATTTGCTTTTAAACTTACTGTAATGTAGTGGTCATAGTAGTGTTGAAACTTCTTGTGGTCAATTATTATCACAATTATGCATAATTATGCACCTGAGTTAATTGTATCACATTAAGGCCCGGAAGGAAGCCTAGAACAATTGTGAGTTTTTACCTTCATTTGCCTACCACTGCTTGTTTAACATAATGTTTGTGATTTGATGTTGAAATAATCATGGATATTTTCAACTTGCAATGCTAGAAAAAGGATATTAAGCATGATTTTTACTTTTGGACTGTGTCAACTGGGTGGGGACTATATATATATTTAAAATAGCCTGTCAGTCATTACTGTTAATCAGGGCAAGATAATGTCAACAGTGCATTAAAAGTACATATTATTATATCAAATAAAGAAACATTTTATTACTGAGACTGGTATTGATTTTTGTACTGCTATGTTAACAGGCACTGCAGATCTCCGCGGTTCATATGTTAAACCTTCAATAACTCTTTATTAAGGATAATATACACCAAAAACTGCATGTAAGAAATTTTATTGACTGTTTTTATTTTAAGAATTAAAAAAAACAACATTAAAAAAATTTAATTATGTATGATTATTTATCATTGCTTATTATAGAATATCTAGATCTCACTGTTGTGTGGTAATTTCAATTTTGATGAGACCTTCATGGTTACTGTTGATAATCACAACATGGACAAAATTGACTTTAATTGAATGAATAAAGTAGTTTAAGTACTATCTTTTACAGTATCAATATTTTCGTATTGAACAACAAGGGTACACTCTGAAACAAATATTTTATCTGTGTGCTGCAGGGCTGAAATTTTAATGTAATTAATGTTCACTTTATGTATTGAAGCATACAATGTTTGTGATAAGTTTTCACTTATGATACAATAAAAGGTGTGTGTTTGTATCATTCTGTATTTTGCCCGTCTTATATTGCTATAATTATATCTTAATGGAAGACTGACTATATCACAACACAAATTAAGCTTTAATTATAGATCATTTTATGTAAGTAAATAACACATTATATTACCTACAATGAAATAGACTTGATTATAAATGAACATTTTTTTGTAGATTATTTCTGTTCAAGCAAATAAATATAAGATGTGATTTCAATTTTGTTTACTGTATTAGTTTACTGTTAAAGTTTACTGTACACAGGTTGGTTAAATAATTTTGGGCTGAGTTATGGCCCTTGAATAAAAAACATGTTTTGCCCTATTATTGATTTTCGTGTCTCCTGCTACACTGTAGCTGCAACATGCAATTGGCTATCATGAGGTGACAATTTATCATTATGGGATTGTTACTTTGTACTTTTACATAATGCTCCAAAACAATTAAGATGATGAATCTGAGGAAGACACAGTATTGAACTTATATATAATACAACATACTGATGTGCATGGGATAAAAGGTAAAAAAATAGTGTGCAAAATGTTTGATATACATAAAAATATCAAGGTAGTATATTAAATATTTATCAATGCCTGCCTTTCTGAGAAGTTTTGTAGGCTTAGACTTGATTGGATATGACCTGAGTGGCTATTCCAAGTAGTGGATAGCTCTAGGAAAAAGTTTAGATGGGTTCAAGACTGGGGTATGAGGAATTTTAAGTTCCAAGTCATTATGATCAACAAAGACCAGTGGATGTTGAATTTTTTTTTTAGCTCAACTGACTTGGTGTGTGTCACACTTTGCATGTTAAGGTTTTTTACATGTATGTTTTGGTATCTTCTTAACTACTGAAGGGGCTTGATTGAAACTTCACACACTTATAAATTTTGTGAGCATAATAAAATGTCACTTTTATGCCCACAGCTCTAACATGGGTTTTGACAGAATTATGTCTTTTTTTGGAAAATTCCACTTTATCTAGGCTTTTGTTTTACTATCAAACACTGAGAATAGTCAAGCACACTGTCCTACCTACAGCTCTAGTTTTATAAAAACATTATTCAGTTATTGGCCTTTCTTTTGACAGTAAATGCTGTAACATATTGGTGTCACTACTAGTAAAAATAGCAAGATGTTTCTTCATATATGTTCGGAAATGATGAGATTGACTATTGTACATATGTTTGTGGCTGGTGTAGTTTGTGATAAATGGGAACCATTACTTTAGCATTATTTTACATTTATGACCTATTTCAGATGCAAAAATAGTGGTAATCATCTATAATAGAATATTATACTATTTTAAGACAAAATACTCGAGAGAAAATGTTTATAATGGATTTGTTGAGAGATTTCTGCTGAAGGTAATAGAGACAGATACTGCTGTGAAATGACTTTTTATGAATGATAAGTGTACAAACAATGTTGTCTAATGTATTGTCATAAAAAATGGTGTTGTTTTATAATAACTGGTTTTTAGCTCACCTGAGCATGCTCAGGGTGAGCTTTTAGGATCGATGATTGTCCATCGTCTGTTCACATTTAGTTGTTAACACTCTAGCGGTCGCATTTTTGCGTCAATCATCATCAAACTTGGTCAGGATGCTTAAGCTTAGATGAGTTCGAAAATGGGTCATCTCGGATGAAAAAAAGTAGGTCACCGGAGCTAAAAATAGAAAAACCTTGTTAACACTCTAGCGGTCACATTTTTGCATCAATCATCATCAAACTTGGTCAAGATGCTTGTCTAGGTGATAGCTTGAATGAGTTCGAACATGGGTCATCCTGGATGAAAAACTAGGTTACTGGAGCTAAAAATAGAAAAACCTTATTAACACTCTAGCGGTCACATTTTTGCCTCAATCATCATCAAACTTGGTCAGGATGCTTGTCTAGGTGATAGCTCGGATGAGCTGGAACATGGGTCATCCTGGATGAAAAAGTAGGTATCAATCATCATCGAACTTGGTCAGGATGCTTGTCTAGGTGATAGCTCGGATGAGTTGGAACATGGGTCATTTCGGATGAAAAAGTAGGTCACCGGAGCTAAAAATAGAAAAACCTTGTTAACACTCTAGCGGTCAAATTTTTGCCTCAATCATCATCAAACTTAGTCAGGATGCTTGTCTAGGTAATAGCTTGGATGAGTTCGAACATTGGTCATCTCAGATGAAAAACTAGGTCACAGGAGCTAAAAATAGGAAATTCTTGTTAACACTCTAGCGGTCACATTTTTGACACAAGTGTCATCAAACTTGATCAGGATGCTTGTCTAGGTACTTGCTCGGATGAGTTCGAACATGGGTCATCTCGGATGAAAAACTAGGTCACAGGAGCTAAAAATAGAAAAACCTTGTTAACACTCTAGTGGTCACAATTTTGACTCAAATGTCATCAAACTTGGTCAGGAAACTTGTCTAGGTCATTGCTAGGAGTAAATCGAACATGGGTCATCTCGGATGAAAAACTAGGTCACAGGAGCTAAAAATAGAAAAATCTTGTTAACACTCTAGTGGCTACTGTTGTGATCCAAATATCCTGTAAATTGGTCTGAAAGTTTGTTTTGAAGATTTCTTAGTCAAGGTCGAACATGGGTCATCTTGGATGAAAAACTAGGTCACACTGCCCAAATATGGAAAAACCTTGTTAACATTCTAGTGGTCACATTTTCAACTCAATTATCATCAAACTTGGTCAGGATGCTTGTCTAGGTTATTGCTGGGATGAGTTTGAAACGGCATGTGAAACTAGGTCACCGGAGCTAAAAATAGAAAAATCTTGTTAACACTCTAGTTGCTACTGTTTTGATCCAAGTATCCTGGAAATTGAAAGTTTGTTTTGATGATTTCTAGGTCAAGTTTGAATATGGGTCACCTGGGTAAAAAACTAGGTTACACTGCTCAAATATGGATAATCCTTGTTAACACTGTAGTGGTTACATTTTTGACTCACCTATCATGAGACTTGGTCAGAATGCTTGTCTAGGTAATTGTTTGGATGAGTTTGATGGGTCAGGTGAGCGATCTAGGGCCATCATGGCCCTCTTGTTACATTAGTTAGTACCTAATCCTGGAATCTTAAGGTTAAGTAATTTTTGGTTTTGTTACTCTGGAACAGAAAGGAACTCACAGTATAGAGCCAGGCTAGCCTGCAACATTCCTTGTCTAACTAACTTTTAAATTTTTCATATTTATATCTTTAAGATTGATTCTAAATATACATTCCAAATATGCAACTGGACATGTCCATTTATGAAAATGAGCAGTTAAACAGCTAAAGAAGAAATATCACCCTTTCTAATTAGTTGTTTTTATTTGTTTGGGTCGTTAGACCAAACAAATAATGGTAGCGAAATTTCAGACTCTAGTGCTGTTAATTGCAAATGCCGAAAGTAGTCCGGTTTTTTTGAAGCGGTTACTTCCCTTTATATGTAACACTAAGGCCGAAAAATTCATGGGAGATCACTGCGTAAATATGGTCACATGACACGCGCATTAATTTTCAAGCAAAATAATTCCCGAATGGTGGAAGATTTCTAATATTGTTTTATTCTTTATAGCATATACATGCTTATAGTAATCGCCATGATTATTTACACAAGTGTTGTTAGCGTCGTTACAAACCCTAATTTAGAATAATATGCTTTTCTTCGGAGAGCCAACATGTAAATTCACCGTGGCCGTGGGGTTTGCGCGCTCGCTTATGAAGCGAGAGGTCTGGAGTTCAAATCCCAGTTAAGGCAATTTTTTTTTTCAAATTGTTTAAGTCAAATAAACATTGGATTGAATATCAGTTTTGAATTTAGTCTTATAGTCAATCTACTACAATAAAACGCTGGAAAGCATTGGTGGCACTATACAAAAACAAATTGTTTTATAATCTCACAACCTTCACCTTTCTGACATTCTGAGACCCAAACAAATTCAGCGCCTTCTGTGCTTTGATTTAGTATTAGGTTTAAATGCTGCTTTGCGCGTTTGTAATTTGTTAGCAGTAGCCTCCTATGCATTTATTTACTAAGCTCTGTCTAAATAATTAGCACTAATAATTTTTATTTTGCTTATATTGAAAGATATGAATTGAACAAAAAGAAATGCAGATGAAACCTTTTTTTCGAGGCGGTACACTTGTTTAGTACATGTATTTCTTTGTTTACTAAAAAGAACAAAGTGTTAATTAGCTTGGGAATATTTTGTAAAAGTTAATAATATCTCTAAAAAATTGTCGACTATTGATCAATTTGTATCGTAGCACTGTACAAGAATATTGAGTATTGCTCAGTTCCTTTTTACTCAGTTCTTCTCTTGTCTAGCTTAGTAATTTTTGTTTCCATCATCAGCTGCCATCATGATTAGCCTCAATTTCTCACTTTTACTTATTACAACTTTTCTTACTTTTACTTATAACAACTTTTCTCAGTTTCACTTATTACAACTTTTCTCAGTTTCACTTATTACAACTTTTCACAGTTTCTCTATTTATACAACTTTTCACAGTTTGTCTATTACAACTTTTCACAGTTTCTCTTATTTCAACTTTTCTCAGTTTCATTATGATATGCTAAGTTACTATGATCTCATGCCTTGCTCAATTTCTCTCATTACAATTTACCCAGTTCCTCTCTCATTACAATTTACCCAGTTCCTCTCTCATTACAATTTACCCAGTTCCTCTCTCAATACAATTTACCTAGTTCCTCTCACAACTTGCTCAGTTAAATTTAGTCATGACTGACTTATTGCTTATTATTCCCATAAATGTAAAGAAAAATTGTTTAAATTGCTATATTTTGTATATTTTGTATTTTATATACTGGCATAATTAATTTTTTGTCAGACATATTTTATGTGAACTTTGCTTTGTAATTACAGCGGTGAGAGAAGATAGATCACCTGGTGGCAAACATCGTACAAAGAAGCCCCGCTTTGACAGTTCCATGGAAGATGATAACTTTTCTAAGCTTGTTGAAAATAAACAGAAATTGGAGGATGACCACAATGAGCTTATTAATGTATTACTGGCATCCCAACCTGACAAAATCCCTGATAATGAATGTAAGATATTGTTGAATATTTAATTAAAGTAAGGTATTTCATTGAATAACTGAGTGAATATGAAAGTCAAACCTAACATTTTAAGACAATTAGAATATATAGAACTGGGTTGTTTTTATTTTATTACCCCCACTGATAAATACATAAAAGGGTTGGCAGTCATGGGAGGGTTGAAATGACATTGCCCATCTGATGAGATCTCTTTGTTCAATTTTCTTGAAACTTAGCAAGAATGTTTATATAAATATGAAAAAGAAGATCATCAAGTGAAATCAAAATCCACCAAAAATTTGTTAAGTGATGGCCCTTATTAAGATCCATCATTTGTTATAATGTGTAACTTACTAATGTAACTTTCATGTTACAGACAATAGGGTTTATATAGGGAAAAATGTCTAAAATATGTCATATAATCTTTTCTACCATTACATATGAAAGATACTACATACACGAAATAATAAAACATAACTAATTTCAAGATTTGAATAATTTCAAACAACAAGACAAGTTTCAACTTCAATTTTCCATAATATTGACATGCAAAAAAACTTTTTACTAATTATATATTTAAGCATTTCCTGATTACAAATTTACATTGAAAATTGTATTCAGGGAGCTGTTTCAGTCTAAAGTTCTTTGTGTGCGATAAAAACTCTTTCCAGTAAAAAAAAAGAGATATTTTTTACCAAAACCAAACCAAAAAATTCCAAAATACATAGGTTTGAGAAATCATATTTGCTGTGTATTATTTCCCTGAAAAATACCAAAATAAAATTTAGAATGGAACAAAAGAAACAAAAACAACAACATTGATTTCTAATGTAAAGATAGATAAAGCAACAAATACAATATTGTGTTAATTAAAAAAAAAAAGCCATTTTATCTTATCAAAGTTCTGTTGTATTACTTTTTTATCTGAACTCAAAATGTCTATTGCACACTATTTATCTGATCATACTTCATACTACATGAGACATAAGGAGATTTACTGACATTACTGACATTATTGCCTCACAAAAAAACAACATTAGATTGAATAGCTATACTTTTTGCATGTTGTTGTTTTTCCAGTTCAAGGGAGGTCAGCGAGCGAGATTTCTATAGAAGAGTTGATGCAGTTTGGATATTCTGAACTGAAATATATCATTGAGTGGGCTAAAAAAGTTCCTAGTAAGAACAATTTCTGTAATACTAAACAATTTGATTAATGACCAGAATAGTTGTATGCAATTATTTAAAGTGATGAACAGTGTGATTAGATTCCCTTTCATATGATATAATGTTACTTTTTATGTTACATTTATACATATAGAGAAGATGTTAAATTAGATTTAGAGGAACATTATGCTCCTGCTTTGTCTTGAATTAAATACAACTTCATACAATGGTCAAGCGCAGTAAGAGGAAGTGCAGTGCTCAAGAAGCATAACTCTCTGGATTTATTACAGAGTAATTCAAAAAAACTTCATCAATGGTCAACCACGTTGAAAGGAAATGCAACATACAAGAACCACAACTATCTTTTATTGCCCACAACCATAGCTCTATTTCAATTCTTTTACAAGGTATTCTGTTACTTGTAACTTCGTCATTTCCGAAGTTAAGTCTTGCGCAGGTATTAATCATATTTAGTGATAGTTCTAGTTTTGCATATTTTTAAGTAAGAAGATTTTAGTCACATGATACACTTGAATTAAAAGGAAGATTAACTTCCATTTGCCCATGTGAAATTAACAATACAAAAATAGTGAGTGGTAATATTTAGAACTACATTTGATGTAATTATGGTTTAAATTGCCAGTTTGAAAACTTAAAGATGATTAAAAAATATCATAAGGAAATAGTACCAGCTATATATACAATGATTTGAGTGTCAAGTATTTATATTTAAACAGATTTCCGTTTGTTCACAATGGAAGATCAGATGGCATTATTGAAGTCAGCTTTCATGGAACTTAATGTAATTAGACTGTCATACAGGTATGTAATTCATATATTCTCACTTATTTTATTTTTTTTTTTTGGTTTACAGTCTATCTAATAATAGCTAACATTACAGAGTTCAATCGGGGGTTTATCTTTGGTTACTGATTGTTTACAAAGTTACTTGGTTCTCACCATTGCAGGTTGATATTGCACTTGAATGAAAGTTTCAGGTAAAAAAGTCATCTAGCTAGCTAATTAAATATCTGTGCTTTTACTCAGGTCCAAGCTATTGCCTGAAATCATGCATGAAGTGGCACCATAGCTCTTTCTCCACCAATAAAGCTACTGGTGTGACTTTCTACAAAGGCCCTGAAAGTCCAAAGAACAATAGTTGTGCATGAGCCATATGTTTCCCTTTTCAAGATAGTTATGTTGAAGACTATTTGTCCAGATCTGTTTGTAATGAACCTGTCTGTGAAGATAAAAGTCTGGAGTTATTGTAAATATAAGTATTGTTATTGTTTGTAGATCAATGGAATATGACGATGCACTTAGGTTTGCAGATAACATTATTGTGCCAAGGTCAGTGTGTGCCACAATGGGTTGGGGACAGGAGCTCGTACATGCTACCCTAGAGTTTGCTACCAGACTAAAGGAGCTAGATCTGGACAAGGTGGAATTTGCATTGATGAATGCCATTGTGCTGACTTACCCTGGTAACTATTTTCTATGTGTCAAAATTCTTGCAGCAGTAGTAATTTGCCTATGTAAACATTTCAAGCCACATGCCTCCAGATGAGCAAAGATATTTAGATGAGCGAAGATATTTAATAAAATCAAACTTGAGAAAAATGTTCTAAGATTTTAAGTAAAGTAAAAAGATTCAATATTCAATTAATAATTTACATGTTACGTGTGATTAATGACTGGTTTTTCTGTATTAATAACTATATTTCTACTGCGTTACTAACTCAGTTAGGGCTATTTTTGTATATTTTGACCTCTTCGGTAATTTACGTGGCCATTGATAATGTGTAAATTGCTTCCTTTTGGTCACTTCACAATATTATACTTTTAGATACATTTCAAAATTTTTATGAAAATTAGCTTGAATCTAGAGGCTTGCTGCTTTAAGTGTATAAAACTATATATCCTCAGCCTGTAATTTATAAAAATACTGTTTGCATTTTGTAAGAGAATACTTTCACAAAACCTGTAAGAAAGAAATACAGTTGTGTTTTGCACATGCACAGAATCATTACTAAACAGTAAAAATCCCATTTTAAATAGCAGAATATATTTTATTCTGGAACATTTCATTATGTTTACTTATAATGACAATGACAATGACAATTTATTTATTGATATTGGCCACCGGCCCATTACAACAATATATACATTTACATATAATTTCTTGACTGGTGTCAGTACAGATCAATGTAATTCCTAATAATGTTTATATTGAAACACACAGAACTATTGTTGAATAATTTACCAAAATGCGTGTCGATCTTAACGAAAAACAAAACATATGATCTTCACTTATGGCTATTCATTGCAAAATAAGGAAAACATACTATAGCCTTAACATAAAAGGCAATAGTGTTTTGATCAGTCTTAAGCTTTGTACAACATTGCCCGAAATGAAAAGTAAATCCATATATCTCATCACTGTACAAACGTATTCAAAATTGAAAACAACAAACTAAACAATACCTAAAAGTAACATTCATGATATTATAAGCATATTCTCAAATATTTTATAATAATAATTTCAAATTTAAGTATCTGTGTTATAACATAGAAAATGATTCCAAGAATGTGATCTCAACAATATAGTAAGTATATCCTAATGATTTCTAACTGTCAGTATCTGTATTACTTAATATATCATTTCTCTCTTTGAATGCATAATATGCATACATAGCTAAATTTGTTATAACATTATCAGAGCGAGAGCACATTAGAACATTAAATTTATGATTATTAGGATTATTAAAGAATTTTTTGTCAATGTATTTTTAGCTCACCTGTCACAAAGTGACAGGGTGAGCTTTTGTGATTGCTTTTCGTCCGGCGTCCGTCCGTCCGTCGTCCGTCCGTCGTCCGTCCGTCGTCCGTCCGTCCGTCCGTAAACTTTTACTTTAAATGACATCTCCTCATAAACCACTAAGCCAATTTCATCCAAACTTTACAGGAATGTTCCTTTGGTGGTCACCTTTAAAAATTGTTCAAAGAATTTAATTCCATGCAAAACTCTGGTTGCCATGGCAACCGAAAGAAAAAACTTTAAATATCTTCTTTTAAAAAACCATAAGAGCTAGAGCTTAGATATTTAGCATGAAACATCTTCTAGTGAGTGTCTACCAAGTTTGTTCAAATAAAAGCCCTGGGGTCAAAATTGGCCCCGCCCCGGGGGGTCATTGATTTTCCCTATATGCATATAGTAAAAACTTAAAAAAATTTTCTTTTAAAGAACCCAAAGAGCTAGAGCTAAGATATTTAGCATGAAACATGTTCTAATGGGTGTCTACCAAGTTTGTTCAAATAAAAGCCCTGGGGTGAAAATTGGCCCCGCCCCGGGGGTCATTGATTTTCCCTATATGCATATAGTAAAAACTTAAAAAATCTTCTTTTAAAGAACTCAAAGAGCTAGAGCTTAGATATTTGGCATGAAACATCTTCTAGTGAGTGTCTACCAAGTTTGTTCAAAATAAAAGCCCTGGGGTCAAAATTGGCCCCGCCCCGGGGGGTCATTGATTTTCCCTATATGCATATAGTAAAAACTTAAAAAAATCTTCTTTTAAAGAACCCAAAGAGCTAGAGCTAAGATATTTAGCATGAAACATGTTCTAATGGGTGTCTACCAAGTTTGTTCAAATAAAAGCCCTAGGGTGAAAATTGGCCCGGCCCCGGGGTCATTGATTTTCCCTATATGCATATAGTAAAAACTTAAAAATCTTCTTTTAAAGAACTCAAAGAGCTAGAGCTTAGATATTTGGCATGAAACATCTTCTAGTGTGTGTCTACCAAGTTTGTTCAAATAAAAGCCCTGGGGTGAAAATTGGCCCCGCCCCGGGGGTCATTGATTTTCCCTATATGCATATAGTAAAAACTTAAAAAATCTTCTTTTAAAGAACTCAAAGAGCTATGGCTAAGATATTGAGCATCAAACATGTTCTAATAGGTGTCTACCAAGTTTGTTCAAATACAAGCCCAGGGGTCAAAATTGGCCCGCCCCGGGGGTCATTGATTTTCTTTATATGTGTTTAGCAAAAACTTTAAATCTTCTTTGAAAAAACCCAAATAGCTAGAGTTTAGATATTAAGCATGAAACATCTTCTAGTAAGTGTCTACAAAGTTTGTTCAAATAAAAGCCCTGGGGTCAAAACTGGCCCTGCCCCAGGGGTGTCATTGTTTTTAACTATATGTGTATAGTAAAAACTTTAAAAAAATCTTCTTTTAAAAAGCCCAATGAGCTAGAGCTTAAATGTTTAGCATGAAACATCTTCTTATGGGTGTCTACCAAGTTTGTGCAAATAAAAGCTCTTGGGTTAAATTGGCTCTGCAACGTTGGGGGGGGGGGGGGGTTGGGGGCCTATATACAGGTGAGCGACCTCAGGGCCATCATGGCCCTCTTGTTCTCTAATCAAAGACAATTTTTTACAAACTAAAACAAAATGATATTCATTTCCAATTACTTCGTGTGTTCTCTTAAAATATTTTAGGTATCTACCTTTTTCAATATCAAATCATGGGAGGACAACCGAAGTTTGGCGAGAGCATTTCTGAATTTTCTAACTGTCACTAATGTTAAGTAATATTCATGTTTGATATTGCATTTAAAATGTCTATACGCATACAATTAAGAACTATCATTTATAATTGCGTGCCATTCTTATAGATATTTGTCCTTTAATTTTTGTACAAAGGAAGTTATGAAATAGTCTTCATTATTGACTGTTTGATTATACCAAATGTAGCCAAAACCATTTTTACATAATAAATTACGAATACCAGTACACCAGTTATTTTGCCCCGTACTATCCAAAAACAACTGCATAAAATAGCATTTTTTAACTAATCTGTGTTCACCCATTTTAAGTATTTTACACCAATATCTTACAGCTCTTTTAGCAGAATTTATAAACATAGGAAATCTCCCTTATAAATTCATGTCTGTTTAATAACAGAGATGTTCTATGTTACAAGTCTTTAAGGAATTAACTGTAAAATTATGGAAATTGATAATGATAGATAATTTTGCATTTACTTTATAACATATAGCTTAATGCACGTAATCCCCCACCCCAAAAAAACAACCAAAAAAATGCATTCTTTTATATGTATATTCTATACATGCCTGCAGTCTGATTTAAATAGTTGCTGAACAATTTAATTATTTTGATACAGAATTTACTTAAGCTATCACAGGACTGTGTCAAAATTTACTGTTTGGCAGATTGATTACACGAACATTTTGGGATGTTTAGCTCCATAGACCTTAAAACCTAAATAAATTGTTTACAGTATTTGTCATTCCCTACTCATGAACTAACCTTTATATCAATAAAAACATAATTATGCTGTTTTTAAAAAAAGATATATTTCAATGTTTATAGTTTATGTTATTCAATTTTAAGGCATTTTGAGCCCCAATTCTTGAATGTCTGTTGTTTATTACCCAAGTTCAGCTAACACTTTTCTAATAATTATTTGATATAGGTAAATTTGTGATAGATTTTACAGTGTAAGAAATTCGGATTTGAATCCACTAGGCCGGTTGGACTACCAGATTGGAATATTCACTAGCCCAAAAGACATTTCACTAGCAAGATTCATTTGTTCAAAACAGTTGTTTATATTGCCTCTGAAAATACAGTAGTCTGGTCGGGCTTGTTACTGTAAAAAGTTGGTAGCCCGAGGAGAAATTTAGTAGTCAGGGGCTATCGGACTACTGCTCATTTCGAACACTGATTTTATATGTTAAATAAATCTATTCCTCACTGTGATGGGTTTTAATCCTGACTGGGACTTTTTCTTTCATGTGAGGAAGCTATCAGCTAGCTTATGGAACGTCAGTGGTTATACTCAGGTGCCCGTTTGTGCCTGAAATAACGCAAAGGTCTTCCTCCACCAGTAAAGCTGGAAAGTCACAAGTCACCATATGACCTTCACTGTGTTAGTGCGACAGTACTGCCCCCCCCCCCCCCCTCCCCCCCCCCCCCAAAAAAAAAACAACAACAAAAAAAAACCCAAAAAATAAATCAATAGTTATAGCATATTTTCTTCAGCTGCATGATGCAATACAAATATCTGCTAATAATCATATTGATTTACAACTTACAGTAGAGTGATGTTTCTGTGATGTTTCTACATGAATTTATTTACAGATGCTATTGGTCTAAGTGATAAGAGTAAAGTGATTGGTATCCAGACAAAGTTTCTCGACACACTGAGACGCTACGTCTGCGTTAAATACAGCAGTGATAAGGGGAGATTCGGGAAACTTCTGCTGCGTCTGCCAACTCTTCGAACATTGAGTGCAAAAGCTGCTGAGAGGTTTCTCTCGTTAACACTGGAAGGTGTTTTACCGTTGAATGATCTCGTGCAGGAAATGATGTGTTGACTGGTTTGATGATTTTATAGTGTGATACAGTCATGTAATACGTGTTCTTATCACACACCTGTGTCGCTTTTGTGACTTTGTAAAAACGGTATTGCACGACTGTGCATATTTTTTGACGTAACATCGTTTGCGTTAAAAACATAGCGTAAGGACGCATTTAATGGCAGATTGCTACAAAGTGATCTTTTTTTTTAGTGTAAACAGTTTTTTATATGTGATAATAAATATTATAGTTGTGTAGCTTCATTACTGAATTTATTGAATAAAAATTTTTTTGCTGGCCAGAGGTTGGTATAATATAATTTTATTCAACTTGTTCAATAAAGACAGTATTGAATCTACACTCATTAAATGTTTTCTATATATGACATACTTGATTACATAAAGAATTCAGGGTTGTGCCAAGACATGATCATTTTGAGAATAGTTTTATTCAATACTGATATTCTATATTGAATATTAAATTTTGAAGAATAGTTTTAATCTATACTGATATTCCACATTGAATATTAAATTTTGAAGAATAGTTTTATTCAATACTGATATTCCACATTGAATATTAAATTTTGAAGAATAGTTTTATTCTATACTGATATTCCACATTGAATATTAAATTTTGAAGAATAGTTTTAATCTATACTGATATTCCACATTGAATATTAAATTTTGAAGAATAGTTTTAATCTATACTGATATTCCACATTGAATATTAAATTTTGAAGAATAGTTTTAATCTATACTGATATTCCACATTGAATATTAAATTTTGAAGAATAGTTTTAATCTATACTGATATTCCACATTGAATATTAAATTTTGAAGAATAGTTTTAATCTATACTGATATTCCACATTGAATATTAAATTTTGAAGAATAGTTTTAATCTATACTGATATTCCACATTGAATATTAAATTTTGAAGAATAGTTTTAATCTATACTGATATTCCACATTGAATATTAAATTTTGAAGAATAGTTTTAATCTATACTGATATTCCACATTGAATATTAAATTTTGAAGAATAGTTTTAATCTATACTGATATTCCACATTGAATATTAAATTTTGAAGAATAGTTTTAATCTATACTGATATTCTATATTGAATATTATTCAGTGAGAGACTGTAGGCTCACTAGTTTTGAATTAAATGTACATTGTAATTGACTCGTATATGACAGATTAGGTGCTGACATTGTCTCCTAGATATTGTTGTTGTCTAGTCACAACACTAATTATCAGAGGTTAGCAAGTTGGCAAGTAACTGGAGTATCTGATGAGTGTGAAATTATTGATATTAGCATGAATCGTATGAGCAGATGCGCAGGCTGGTCTGGATCCATGCTGGTCGCAAACCCATTATGTTGGTTTTGTCGTGACGCTGCTCAAATGATGTTGTACACAGCTGTGATGTCATGTGGTTTATATAACATAGCATATTTCTGCATAAAGTCAAATTATGTGTTAGCATTACAATATAAGTTTGTTAATGATTAAAGATTCATTGTCACTGTAAACTGAACTTACTTTTAGTTTTTGTTAAAATAGAGTATGGTATTTGTGCAACTTCATTACTAAATTTATTTAACTTGTTGAATGAAATAATAAGCTTGCTACAGGCTCACATGTAATAAGTTTATTCAACTAGTTAAATAAATTCAGTATAGTACCTATACTCATTTATAATCTTCTTTGTGATTTCATGATGACTCAAAAGAGATTTATATAGCATACAGATGTTGTCTGCTCGTGATTTTGTTGTCAGCCATTATTTCATTTCATCAATACAAGATTTATTTAAAATTTTCAAATCATAATTGTCATTGTTGAAAATATTTATAAGAGGTAGTACATGTATCGGGTACAGCAGATGTTTTTATTTTTGTTTTATAATTATTTTCACAACAAACATTTATTGCTCATTCTCCATTGCCGTTCTCATATAATTTATATGGAGTATAAGGCAATGGCTTATAAGTTGAAATCTGATTGATAGTGGTTCAGAATCTAGAACCACTTGTAATATAACTGTCTTCTAATATATGACTTTAATTCAAACTGGCAAATTGGAAAGAAATTTTGGCAAAATGCCAACTTATTTTGATTTTCATCTGTTCACTCACTTTATACAGTGGGTGAGTATGATAATGCCACTTGAACATGTACTTGAACATTACAGGAAAATTCAGCACTAAAATCACCTTAACTGTACTTAGGTGTTATACATAATGCTTGTTAAAATATAGTTAAATGAAGATATCATTGATATTTCACTTGTACAGGTACTGTGAAGTTCTTTTTTCAAATTTCTCACTTTTTATTAGTGAGTTACATTTAATTTTCACTAAAAAGAGTGAACTATTCAAGATATTAAAAGGCACATTATGCCCCAGAAACACACATTTTTACTTCTTTGTAAAGGGCTAACATTAATTAAGTTTTAGAGCATATAAGACGAGTGTTACCTGAAGAAAGTAGCACTTATGTGAAATCATTTGTCATTGAAGTTGCAAAATGTAAACAAAGACAAATTTTTGACTTCCATACAAAATACTAAATCACTATAAAATGATTGTTTAGGTAATTGGCTAATGAATAACTTTTTGGAAACTATAAAAATATAAATTGAAAGTATCCAAAAAGTAAAAAGCTTTTGAGAAATAAAAATAAAATCATTTCTGTGGCATAATGGGCCTTTAACGTAAATATTGTATTTCATATTTGAGAATTTGTATATATATAGTCATCATATATTTATGTAGACTACTGTATAGTTGAATTATTGATTAATTTTGTGAATTATTTTGCTCAGTAAATTATCAATGTTACCATGGAAACATGTTAGTGCAGATATTCATGTAAATCATGGTTAATGATGTTAATTTGTTTCTGTCTTCAATTTGTCTAGTTCTGATAATATTATATTGTGTTTATAAATGTTAACATGTTGTTGTTTGTTAGGTCATTGGATGTTTTTAGTGTTTTGTGGTTACATGATGTCTATCATTCATCATTATCCACAATTTATTTAAGCAACATCCCTAAAACTACAATATGGGTTTTTAAATAACAGATTGTTATTTTTGTATATTAAATGGCAAAATGAAGTCATTCTTAGCACACTTTTCATTCAGATGCATGGGAAGGACGTCATTTAAAACACCTGACTTGTGTTAAACGAGGGTGTTAGAAGGGGTTTTCTAGCACTGGGGTAAATAGTAAAAAATGCTGTCTGATATGCAAGAAATAGCTTACCTGTACCTTTTGCTGTGGCAGCCACATGTAGGGATAACTTCTTCATCGTCTGTCTGTCACAAAACTTGTCCAGACTACTCCTCAAAAACTACTGGTGCAATTTCATTCAAACTTAACAGGAATGATCAGTACCAAATTTAGTTGTGCATATCATTGGCATCAATCTAGTCCAATGATTTCTGTCAGAGTTATGGCCATTTATTTTTAAAAGTTTTGTCCAGACTGCTGTAATACTACAAATTAATGCAATTCGAGTGAAACTTTACAGTGTTGATTGGTACCTCGAGTACTTAAAGGTCTTTGCCGGTTGAATGATTATGGCCCTTGAATAAAATAATCATTTTGGCCTGTTAATGATTTTTGTGTCTCCTGCTACACAACAGCTACAACATGCTACAAAACTTGCTTCAACATATACTGGGAACAAACTCCAATCACACCTCAATACAACTTGCTAATTGGCTATCATCATCTGATCAATGATTGTTCTTGTGATATATAATTTTTTTTAAAGTTTTTTTTATGATAATGAGCATGATAATTGAGATGTGCTGCTTTGAGATATGAAAGTATAGACCAGATAGTTGTTACAGTTTAACATTCCAGTAATCTAACTTTACTATGAGTAAAAATAGTTAATATGGCATCCAAATAAATTATTAAATAACTGAAAGTAAACTGTGAACATATTAATAAAGCTTATATATACTAGCATACTTTATTATACATGTATATAAACAGATTTTATGGCATTTTTTAATTTCCATATATTTGTATACAGAAACATTTTATACAATGTGAAGTTTTTACCCGTCAAGGTGATAACTATGTCTTAATTAAGTCATTTGTATAAATTCATTTTTATGATTGTTTTTATTGATTAATCATGTAGAACCTCATGTTTTCGACTCATCATAAAGTCATGAGACAAACCTGACAGACTAGTCACTTTCACATTATATATTGTATGAGTGCCGGTTATTCCAAGACTTTGAGAATTTTTAAAAAATTTCTTTGCAGAAAATTTTTGCTCAAAAGATTTATTTCCCATTTTAATTTACAAATGGGTCACTTTTGAGTGGATTTGAAATGTGGTTAATGACCAATGTTCTACTTAATTGATATTATTTTCTCATTTATTCTTTTTGGACACGAATGTTATAATATACAGCTTGCTTAAATTATAGCATTACTTAAAAATAAACAATGACAAATATTTTCACTCATAGAAAAAGTTCATATTTAAACATACATTGTAAATTAAATTTTTGCAACACAAAACTCTCCACTGATATAATTAAATTTTTGCAATACAAAACTATCCACATATTATATGTTATTTTGGTTTTGGAGTGATATATGTGGATATATTACCTGTTAAGATTTTATATCACCCGAGCCGTTAGGCGAGGGTGATATTTTATCTTGGCAGGTAATATATCCACATATATCACTCCAAAACCAAAATAATAATTTTATTACCCTTCCCCTGCCGAGTTTAGACGATTTTTTAAATAATCATTGCTGTTTCAAATGAAACGTCGAAATAAGATTCCCTTTAGGATACCTCTTCGTCACAACATGACGTCACATAAATACATGACGTATTTTTCCCGTACCTTACAAAAGTAAACAAGAGAAAAGGAGTAGTCTATTGAACACACTTTTTTGTAATTAATATCAAGCTTTCACAAGGTCATATTTGTTTTCGATACTGATGGTTATATGTATCATAACTCTACTTTGGTAAATATTTATCATTTGACAGTAAAAAAGTGCTTTTAAATCGGAATTTACACCGCGTAAAATCGAACCGTACGCGCATCATCTCCGCGCATGTTGTTTACAACGTTGGGTACCAAACGGGGAAATTTAGTGTGTATATTACCCGTCTGGCTCGGTTATATCAATTTCTTTCGGGTGATCAATATCCAATCAAAAAGGCGGAAAAAATCTGGAAGGGTAATAAACTAGTATAAGTTGACAATGAGACTTATGGTGCTGTTTCATTACTACATTACTGTACATTCACTAGGTTTGAATCGTATCTAAAAATGAAAATACTTAAAAAACATGGCTTACTATTTTATTAATGATGTTTATATAAGACTGAGTGTTGATGAATTATATTTTCATTATTATGTTTTCTCAGTAGAGATATTCTGGAACTCGGCAGATGGAAGTTTTTTCCCCAATTTCATCCTTTGGTACAAACAAATTTTTACATTAGTGCAACATGGTGATCACTCTATTGTAAACTTTAATGGATTATGAAGCTATAATAGTTAAAAGTTTCCTTGTACTTTGTGATTAAACGGGGTAAACCCCCAATTTGTCAAATTTCAGATAACATGTATATACTGATAATGTTGATGCTGTATAAACCCATAACTTGCTGAAATTGTTTAATGAAATTACCCAGCTTTGGTCAGAATGCATAGATGTGCAGGCTGGCCTGGTAATTCTGTTGAGCTCTTTATGATTCAGCTGGTTAAAGCTAAATATTTTTCTTACACTGCTTGAAGTGTGTTTTGAAAATAAGTGAATTCTGTATATTTGCTTGTTTTATGGGGTAATGATGGGTACAGAAATAATTCAGATTGTATATATTTCTTATGCTGTATACATATCAATGTTGTTTAACTTGGTGAACATATTTAAGTTTATTCCAGGAAACATTCAATTTTTTTAACAGGTTGCTTGGTCGAGCATAAATGGTACTAAACTTTGTTATATTACCTAACTTGCCTGGCAAATGGTTATATAATAAACAACCATTTATGCACAGCCATTTAACCTGTCAAAAGTTTTTATATCTAGCTTATAATGCTGCAAAATATTGCTCTCTTTGATTAAATTTAAATTATTAATAAAATTATTGCAGCCATGTCTATAGACAATAAATACATCATAATTGTCCAATGAAATTCAATGTTACAAATATATGCAGCATTATAATGAAAATACATGGTACCTGTATATTATAAATGCAGTGAGAAGGTCAATTAGTTCCCCATGCAGTAAATAAATCCTTCATTGTAAGGCTGAAAGGAATTCTTTTGGATTATGTTAAATATTTTTTGTTTTTAAGTATAAAATGAAATTGCTTTTAACTCCAGCTCACACAGAATGTACATGTAGTGATTAAAGATGTAGAAATATAACTTGTAGAATTTTTTTCATGGTGTTATTTTTCCTGGTACATAAAAACAGGACATAGTATACTTTGTTAGATATAGTAAAACATGTTAATTCTTTTCAATGTTTATCATACTCGTACAAGCAAGATTTTGAAATAAAATTGCTTACAGAATACACGACTGTTTTTATTACTTTAACCTTAATATTGAATTGTTTTCTTGCCCTAATTTTCCTTCACTAACATTAGTTTAGTCTGCCCTTAATTATATCACATGGGCAAGTAATCTAAGCAATCCTATTTCCATATTACTTAAAGTAGCCCATCAACTTTGTTAAATTTCTGTATTAACATGTACACATGTATATTGACTATAGTTTGTTGTCCTGTTACTGAACACTTATTTAAATGATGATTAATTTTCCCAGTCTTATAATGATGTTAACAGTATGTAAAAACAGCAAATGATATCAAATAAGTTCATTTCATTCTGTAAAATGACAAGGTTATTCCAGTTAGAGGTTCTGCTCAGGTACCTGAAATAATACACTCAGTGGCAACGATGGTTGTTCTGCTCCGTGGCAGATAGAAAATAACTTATCGCCTCGGAACACATATGAAAACTTGTATGTGATAAAGCTACTTGATATCCTAGTATGTGGCATCATTCTAAAGTTATTATATAACTGTAGAGACATGGAAGAATGGTTCTAAAATCTGAACCAGTTTAAAGCATTTTGAGAAAACTGGTCTGAAGCGATATTTTGAACGAAAACCAATCATTTTCACAGACTTTTCCAAATCAGTCACTTTTAACCTAAAATATTTTTATTAAATTATAACAGGAGAAACAAATCCAAATCACCTGTAAACCTTCAGTCAATGTACAGCAAGTTCATTGCAATAAAATTGTCCTGTTTTGCAATACATCAATAAACCAGTCAAATTTGTAACTCACTGCAGTTATCTGCATGTCATCACTAGCACCAGTTATATGGTTTAGTAGCTACTGTACTTTTAGGCTTACTGCAGGATCCAGATTTCTTTGGAAGGACAGAAAAGGTGATTATTTAAAAAGCCTGTTCCAGTTAACCTTAATATTTTTGTTTTGTAAATTCTTCTATGCTACAAACGATTTAAGGTTAAGACCTGTTTATTTTATTTGTAACTTTCTTTTCGTGGCATTTGAAAACAACCATTTACTACAGCTATACACTTCAGTAGAAAGTAAAAAGGAGTAAATTATGGGTACTCTAAGAACATAAAGAATAAATTTAGCAAATATTTTTTAAAGATTTATTAGATATCAAAATATTTTTTAATTAAGTAGTTGGACCTTTAACACTTGCACTGTCTTTTGATTTGTCAACACTTTCACTAGATTTGACTGCAGACAAATTTTCTTCCAAATTACTGTTCTCTTCTTTTTCCTCCACACGATTAATGGAATCTCCTTGTACAGAGTTTGTTAAAGTATCAGCCCTGGTGTTTGCTTGCTTTTGTTCATTATGATAATCTTTATTGGCGGCTGATATTAGTACATTACTCAACAGATGTCGTGTTTCTCTCTGACGAGGGATGATTGGTGGGTAAGGGTTACCTGGAACATAAACTTTAAGATTAGTACAAGTACAAATATACATATAACTATATTTAGCTCCATAGTACATGTATATACTAAAATAATTGAAATCTAACTGTAATAATATTTAAATGAAGGTACTTATTTGCACTGGATAAAGGCTCTCTATGTCATGCCACCAACACAGGGGACCACAATGGAAATAAGAGTCTCTCTTTTTTGTGCTATCCTTGGTGCTGGTGTACATGTCATGGCTTATTTATTCTCATGTATGTTTTAAAATGTTTGTACCATACATGTTGTTTAAAATGTCCATGTATATATATTCCATACTAAAATAAATCTAAAATCTACTTCAAAAGGTTGATGTTCCCTTGAACAATTGCTGGTTACAATGACTATTTTCAATTTTACATTACTATGAGGTTAACATGCAATTACAAAAGTATTGCAAGCAATACAAAATTTCCCTACAGGTTGGAGCCCTACAAAAAGTATGAAGGTAACATACCTAAGGCTAATACCTTTTAATTACATCATTGTGGAAGACATAAATGAACCGCAAACATAATGGGTTTGCGACCAGCATGGATCCAGACCAGCCTACGCATCCGCACAGTCTGATGAGGATCCATGCTGTTTGCTTACAGACCCTATAACAAGTAGAGAAACTGATAGCTAACAGCATGGATCCTGATCAGACTGCGCGGATGCGCAGGCTGGTCTGGATCCATGCTGGTCGCAACCCATTATGTTGGTTTTGTCATGATGCAGCTCAAATGAACAATTGATTCTGAGGAAAATCTTCTGGATTTGTCTGTACGTTGAAACATGTTAAGTTTCCTTGCCTAATATGAAAATTTTAAGTTTATCAAAAGATCATATTTTGTCATGTTCAATAAGTAGAACTTATGTTTCAACTTTACTTTATTATAAGTTAATTAGTTGGAAAATTTCCAAGTTCAGGATACAGTTTTTATGGAAGGATGGACAGAAGTAGGGCACGCCTGTAAAACCGGTAGGGAAATAATAACCAACACAGTCACAGGGCTGGAGTGCTCAACTATTCTGCCTGCTTGAAAGTAAATCCACTGTACATGCACTACCCCATAATTGATTTATAACGCAGTTAGTTTTAAATGATTATGCTCACCTTTCAATTCTAAGACAGCATTAAATCCTCCACTACCAGGATAAGTTGCTGGCAGTCTGTACACTGATGTAAATGATGTTGAGTACTGCTGGTAACGGGGAACAAATACTTTAAACAACTTATGTACAAGATCTTTCTCCTGAAATATGAACGCAACAAAACATAAATTATTCATGCTATAAAAAATTCTTAATCCTCATAATATTGGTTTTAGCTTGACTTTTTCGGGAAAATTTTTTTTGAGCTTTCGCCACAGTCATGTTGTTGTTGCTGTTGCCGTCTACAAACTTCATCATTGGTCATGATATATTTTATTTAAAGAATAAAAAATCCCATAATAATCAGCTCTGACAATTAGTTCAAATAAATATACATATCATAACATGAACAAGAGTCATAGGTTTAACCAGCCTAACATTTTTGCTTGAGGCTAACCTTGCTTAGATTACCATGTAGGAGAGATAATTAGCACAATGAATGAAGTATTTGGAGTGGTGGCCTAGTGGTTAACCTTTTACCCCATGTGCATATTGCGAAAAATGGCCGTTTTCATTGCAAAGCCTCCTGTAACAAGTTCAAACTGCTATAAAACTATGAAAAATGCTTCAATACTGATAAAACTTGGCACAAATGTTGACTACACCATATAGCCTCTTTAACAGCATGCTCAATCGTAAATTTCCTATTACCATGGCAACGGGGGGACGTCTAAAAATTGCCAAAAATCACTATTTTGCATTGTTTTTTTCCATCAAAACTGATTTCAAAGTGCTGCAATTTCTCAATGAATTGAGATAGAGTAAAAGGCTTTTCAGCGTCGGTTACTAGTTACCCTAACATCGACCTGAGGCCATTTTTAGCCTGTCACATGTCCAAAATTTTCTTGGCGATGAGGGGGACTCCACCCCTCTTCAAACCCCCCAACAACATTTCTCAAACGAAAACCAGTGTTTGGGGCCTAAATAGGGCATTTTTTCACTGTTTGAGGCCTCAAAACAAAGGGGGGGGGGGCAAAAAGCCGTCGAAACACGCTTATATGAGGGAAAAGGTTACGGTGTCTGCCTCTCAATCCAGGGATCATGGGTTCGAGCCTTAATCGGGTCACAACCATGTTTCTTCATATGACACCAGTAGTGGTTGGTTCCAGGAAGCAGACTCAAAAGTGATTCAAGAACTTGTTTCGCAATCAAGCTAAAATAAATATGTTTAAACCAAACCAAGTACTTAATTATTTTTTCCATTGCTTTAGTTTTGTTATTTGATATTTTTCTATAAATAATGAGAACAATATGTGACACTCCATAAAATTTAATCATAACTTGCCCATATATACAACTGTAGCTCAGTAATTTATGATAGTGTTTTACTTAAGTTCTGTTAACAAAATCTAGAAGTATGAAATTTTTACCAGGAGCCAAGAATCTGCCATACGCATTGTAGGTTCATGTCGATCACCATTCTGTATAGCCAGGTTGATTAACTGAAAAATAATAAAATGATGTTAATCAAAACTTGTAATACTAGTAATAGTAATTTGTAATACAAGTAAATTTATATTTTAACTTGAATTTGAAGAATATAGTAGTAAAGAGTTCTCTAAGAAAACACCATTTTCTTGTACAAAATATCTGACAAAATATTTTTGTATTTGACAAGGACTGTCGAGGTAATTTACAGATCAAGGTCATTCTTTAGTTACATGTATTTAACATGTTGGATTTGTCATTAAGTGTTGCTTTGTACAAGTATAAATCAAATAGTTTTCACTTAATCTAATAATATTTCTTAATGAGGATTATTCAAAGAATGTATTTGATATTAAGTGCATTTTATGTTTTATGTTTACTTGATTCTGAAAAGTTTTTGTAAATTTAACACTTTTTTCAGGTATTTTAATCCTATTAACACCTTCATTGTCAGATTATTTGACAGTGATTGAAATATACCTGTAAAGGTCTAGTGATATTCTTCATTTGTTAAATAACGAATAAGGTGGTAACAAGTATGTTATAGAAAATTAATAAGCAATAACTGGTATGCAATCATGTTTCACATTTACTTTTATACAAAATTGATTAAAGAACATGTAGTCATTAACATGAAACAATATATAATACCAAATAACTAATAAAAAATACTTATTCATCAACACCTTTTCACAGCTATTTTAATCATTAGATTACACCTTGGTTCTTAAGTAATAAATTAACAAGTAAAATGGTTTCCTGCGGTGAACATTTTAATGATATAAAGATATTTCATTTAACTATTTTCAACATTATTTGGGGGGGGGGGGAAGATAAATAAACGCTTGTATCAAGAATATAGTTGACAATAATCAATCAATATAGAAGAAGGTCTTTGGAAACTGGTGACTGTTGAAGACCGGAGAAGGTCGAACATAAAACGATTATTTCTTTTTAAGAAAATGATTAAATATTCCTACGCAGGGAATAAACACATCAATTTTCTCTGACATCAAACTTAACACATATGTGTATTTCATTTTGCAAAAGTATGAAATTTAGCAATTAAAATTCATAATAAATCATTTTTTCTTACAATTTTTTCTTATTTATTAAAAAAAAATACAAAAAACACCAAATAATTAATATCAAATCATTATCTAAATCAAGTAAATTATTCAATAATTATTTTCAATGACTAAACACATTAAAAAGTATTCATTAGATCTAATAAAAAAAATCAGAATAATTAACTATTATGCTAAAAGTATTTTTTATATAGATTTATATCAATTAATCAGAAACATACCCATGTATTAAACATCTAAATACTTTTTATTCTCTACTTTTTATTAATTAATAATAATTTGATAATAAACTATTCGTTTATTAAACATCTAAATACTTCAATAATAATGTATTAATAGCGAGCTGGACGAGCTGGCCCGAAGGGCCTGCTTGCAAAGCGAGCTTTATGGTAACGCGAGTACCTGCTAAGTGATGGTTTTGAAAACTTTCGTCCGAAGTACCGAATTGGACACATCGCAACTTTTCGAATTTAAAGATAACGATAAAAACTGAGGAATTCTGACTGAAAACGGATGTGTAGACTGGTCAACCGCACACGTCTATGGGAACCATAATTGGACTGGGAACCAGAATAACAGGAGCTGTGTATAAAATTTCGAATGACAGTTTTAAAATGAAAATTGAAGACGCCATTTTGTTTGAAAAATCTGATAAATAAAACCATTTTTTTGGCGAATTTTGTTGTGAAAACTATCTAGAATGAAAGAAAATGGTCTAACTAAGAAAATGAATCCGAACACCAATATCTTTTTTTCAGTCGTTAACGCTGTACAGACGTTTAAAATATTGTTTACGTGACGTCACAATGTAGGGCCAAACAGCATGTGCAAAACAATCAAATCAAATACGCTATTTTAATGTCGCAAACATTTTAAGTTTTACATTTATTTCACTTTTAATAATCTTTATTTCGCTTGAAAAATTATAGAGTAAAATATAATAAACAAACAAAGTTTTATCAACGTTTTCAAAACTCGTTATTCATTTAACGACAGGGGCGGAGCCATATTTAACACAGTACGTGTGACGTCACACGCATTCGTCACTGCATTTGAAATAAAAACGAGCGATTATTTCATACTATTTCAGTGTCTATTCTAGGAATTGAAAAATAGGGGTGATTTTCCCCCCTCTATTTCAAAAAAGGGGGCGATTTTCAAAATCAAAGGGTGCCAATATAAACTGCCAATGTTAAATTGTCTGCATTAAGTTTACACAGAGGCGTTCAACCGATGAAATAATTAAAACGATAATATTTATTTAAGGCAGCAGAAGTTGTCCCCCCTGAATTTTTAAACGAAAACAAATTATTACAGAACTGCCGCGATTGATTATAAAGGGATTGGCAATACAAATAATCGAACTATCTTTCACGTCTAGATCGTAGCCAAGCTAGGAATTGCCTCATTTTTCTTGATTATTTACTACACTTAAATGGCGCCCAACTGTCAGACCTAGCACACTAGTTCCGGTCGATACGGAACATTCCGTTAATTTCCGTCAACTCACGTAACCAGTACCATACGGTACTAAATTATTATAATTAGCTTACAGTTACCTCCCTTCGGTTTTCGGTGTAAATGTAAACAAAACAACCAAATATAATGCGGGATGGAAGTTTTACAGTTTTATTAACTTTTTTTATAGATGCGCGATTTTCACGCACATGATTTTGAATTGTGCGCGATCTATTAAATACTAGCGTGAATCGCGCGTCCTAGAATAGACACTGCTATTTCACGTTAAAAGTACATCGAGCTCGCTTTGAGGCTTTGTCTTTTTCATATTAAAAATGGGGAGGAACTGTCAGCTTATTTGCAAATATGTACATGTAGACGGTTCTCCCCCAAACTAGTAGGAGAGAACCGTCAGGGAGGAAACGTCAGGGGAGGAACTGGTAAGTGAGAGAATAGTCTGACTACCTATCAGACTAGGTAGGTGTTATGACAAATCAACGTGCTGAACGCCTGTGGCTATGATTGGGCAAATTTTCTACCTGTTCTGCATATCCTCGAGCTTCATCAACACGATCACCACGACCTTCGATTCGTTCATCTCTAAATAACTTCGTGACAACTCTTTTCAAGTACAGTATTCTTTCAGGCGGTCCACTGCCCATGCCAATAATGGCACCTTTTATTTTTCGCGGCTTATTTCTTATTGGGAAACGAATCATTTTCTGTCTTTTCTAATTAAAACTTTATTTTCAACTCTGGATTTTTTTATGCAAGGCAAGTCATTAAACGCTTGAATATTATTTCGTCTGTATCATCCAGACGTTTTAATTTTGTCGCCTAAACGTCTTGGTGACGCAGACTATAAGATTTGTCCATAGACGCTTCTAAAAGGGTCAGACTATTCTATTCATTTACCCTATACTTACATTATAAGAAGAAACTTTATACTTACAGTAATACTACATTTATAGGAAAACCTGGGAAGACGCATAAGGGGACTGGATGCACCCTATTGATAATGTACAGATCTAGCTGCTCTTTCGATTTTCTTGTGTACAAACTGATACGCATACCTCGATCGATACATTTTTTATCTATCAGCGAAGTATGAAAACATCGTTGATATGACTTTAATAAAAGTCCTTTATTAAGCTACACGAAAACCAGTGTTTGGGGCCTAAATAGGGCATTTTTTCACTGTTTGAGGCCTCAAAACAAAGGGGGGGGGGGGCAAAAAGCCGTCGAAACACGCTTATATGAGGGAAAAGGTTACGGTGTCTGCCTCTCAATCCAGGGATCATGGGTTCGAGCCTTAATCGGGTCACAATATGACACCAGTACTGGTTGGTTCCAGGAAGCAGACTCAAAAGTGATTTAAGAACTTGTTTCACAATCAAGCTAAAATAAATAAGTTTAAACCAAACCAAGTAGTTAATTATTTTTTCCATTGCTTTTAAGTTTTGTTATTTGATATTTTTCTATAAATAATTGAGAACAATATGTATATATATATATATATATATATATATATATATATATATATATATATATATATATATATATATATATATATATATATATATATATATATATATATATATATATATATATATATATATATATATATATATATATATATATATATATATATATATCTTGGTCTTAAAACTGATTTCGATCCAGTTATCATTGCAAAGGTACTTTGTATAATTATGTATATCTAAAGTTTAGCCCGAAATAAAACGGTTTCTTTGCTAGTCAACAATTCTTTACTTTGTGTATTTGAACAATGTTATTTCAGCCGAATATGATCAATATAAGTTTCATGTAACAACAAAATGAAAACCGGTTCATTTGATTCTGATCCCAATCTTTTATTCGTGAACATGTGGGACCAGGGCTTGATGATAATGCCAGTCTCTGAAGAATAAGCAGGTTTGCGGTGAAGAAAATAGTAAATAGCGTAATTACATGTATTCTCCGTTTATGTTTTACTTATCCATATGCCAACCCCGTTTTTCATTAAAATTGTTCTGGGCAAACATAATTAATAAATTCAAGATACATGTACATGTAGTTGTGTCAAGAAAATATAAGAAATAAAGCTGCGTTCAACCAACATCTGAAGAAGAAAAAATCACACATGTTTTAAGAATTTTAACAAAGTTTCAAAGTTTATTGGCAAATCAGTACAAAAACCTTTGGCCATATATATACAAACATACATACAAATAAAGATCAAGACAATATCTTTACAATTTTGCAATTCATACAATACAAAATCACAAGTTAATGAGTTATGTGCGAACTGAACAAAAATTCTTGATTATGATAATAGTGGTATTATATCTATATTCTTTTGAAATACAAAGATTTTACTATGAAGCAGCTAAAATATTTAAACTTTCTTCTCTTAGTCTAAAACTGTCATACAAAAATTTTGACAATCTTCTCAATGCATTGGTGTTTTGGCTAGACATAACTGAGACAAATTTATTTATACTAGGCCAAGTTGATCTAATATTGTATTTTATGCGTAGTTCGTTGTACTTTGGACAACAAAGTAAAAAATGATATTCTGATTCACAAACATTTTGATTACACATCTTACATTTACGTTCCGACCTAGGTATATTATTAAATCTACCAACTTCTATTTCTAGACAATGAGCACTTAATCTAAATTTAGTCAACTGTTTTCTGTGTGTTTCTTTAACAATATCAACAATGTATTTTTCAAATTTGAACTCTGTTTTGAATAATTTATAATAATTCAATTTAGGTTGGTTACATATTAAGTCATTCCATTCCTGGACATATTGATCTTTAAGTCTTTGAGTTAAGCTATCTATTGAGAACAAGTTTACGTTCAAATTATTATACAAAAATCCATATCCAAGATTATCTAACATAGTTTTTATAGATTTACACCATACATATGAACGTGTAGTATTTATATCATTTCTTTCATACAAAGTAAATTGATCTATCATAACACTGTACATCAAAGAATTCGGCTTATTCAGTATATTAATGAAATATTTTAATGATCTTTGTTTACATTGTAATGCTAATGGAAATCTGCCTAATTCTCCCAAAACGGCTGCATTTGATGTAGAAGGACGGACCCCTAACACATATTTGCAAAATTTGTAATGTAGTTTATCAACTTCTGCAATTTTGTAAATTCCCCAAACTTCAGAGCCGTACATAATAATTGGAGTGACAAGTGCATCAAATAATTCTAGTTTCGTTTTTACATCTACATTAACACGGCTAAAAATTGATAATAAGTGACCGTATGCTTTCAATGCTTGATCATTTAGTGTCTTAACAATGTTTGTCATGTTACCAGTATAGTTAAATTTTATACCTAGATAACAAAAACTGTCAACAATTTCAATACATTCACCATTTATATTCCACCTAAAATTGCAATGTGTTCTTTGTTTTTCAAAAATGCATATTTTGGTTTTGTTCACATTTATCTTTAAACCCCATTTAATTGAGTATTGGTGGACAGCATTTAATTGCGACTGAAGACTAACTGGATTTGTAGTAAAAAGTACAATGTCATCAGCAAATAATAACATAAAAACGGACAACAGCTCTAAATCGTTATTTGTAAGGTTATCAATATCAATACAGTCTTTAATGTCATTTAAAAACAATATAAACAGAAGTGGGGATAAGGGCTCTCCTTGTTTAACACCAATCGTTACATCAAAAAAGTCTGAGAATGACAAGCCGTTGGCATTTTTAACACATGACTTAACATTTGCATATATAACTTGTATCATTTTTAACATTTTACAACTTATTCCTGATTCAATTAATTTAATCCATAGAGCTTCATGGTTGACAGTATCGAATGCTTTTTCATAATCAATAAAAGCACAATATAGTTTGTGTTTCTGTAAGAAAACATTTTGTATAATAGTGTGTAAAATGAAAATACAATCTGTGGTACTTCGTTTATCTCTAAAACCAAACTGTAGGGGATTAAATACATTTTCATTCTCACACCATTTATTTATTCTATTCCTAAGACATAAAGAAAATATTTTTGCAATTATATTAACTAAGGTAATGCCACGATAGTTAGCTGGATTGTTACGGTCCCCCTTTTTAAATATCGGTACAATTGCACCTTTGCACCATGATTCCGGATATATGCCTTTGTCATATATGTAATTGAATATTTTGACCAAATATGGTGAAATAAAGTCTTTTGAGTCAATGAAAAAATCGGCGACATTATTATACAAGTCACTACTTTTGTTCCTTTTCAAGGATGTAATTGTTCTTAATATTTCATCTAAAGTAAAGGGACAATCTAACTCTTCAATGTTTATTGGAACATCTGTATTATCTGTAAAGTCATTTGAGTTAAATGAACTATAATGAGCTGTATTTGATGATTGTTTAAAATAATCAACGAATTCCTGCATGCTTATATCATTGCTACTGGAATTAGATTTATTTTTATATTTGTTAACGTATTTCCAAAACTTTCTTGGGTTTGTTTTACTTAAGACAGATAGAGTTGTCTTCTCTTTATAGCTATATTTTCGTTTGGCATTACATTTTGTTTTACAATAATCACTTCTAGCATTTAAAAAATTTATTCTGTTTTCATTTGATGGATTTTCTTTTATTATTCTCTTTTCTTCAAATAAAATTGTTTCTTACCTTCTCTACAATTATTGTCAAACCAACAAGACCTTTTGTTTCTTTTTTTGTCTTTATAGTTATTATTATTATTCACAGGATTTACAATTTTTCCATGCACACTAAACGATATATCATATATAAGTGAAGATAAGTTATTTATACAAGTATCCAAATCCTCCCTTTCTAATATCAAATCATCAGTTATATTATCAAAACAAAGTTGATTACTATATAATTTCTCAGACAGTTCAAAATTTTTACTTTCGTCCCAGCTTATTTTATCGTAAGTGCAACATTCTTGATGTTCATCGGCCATATTACAAAGTAATTTAAACTCTTTTGGACAGTGTTCGGAAAATTCATTCAAATCGAGAACATTAAAAGTACTAATACAGGAAAAAACATTATAATTTGCAACAACATAATCAACAACGCTAGCACCGAATCTGTTTCTGTTTAAATTATAGCATGTACATAAGCCGGGTTCTAATCGTCCATTAACTATAAAGACGCCATTTTCTTTACATAGTGACAAAAGTTTGTTTCCGAAAGAGTTTGATTGATAATCTGCTGATAACCGTTGAGGCAAAACATTTGTTGTTATATCATCCAACGGAATATCAATATACCGTTCAAGATTAATGTTTTCTACAATATCTGATCTCTGACCTATTCTAGAATTTAAATCTCCCGCAATGAGTATATCACCTTCTTGGTTATATTTTTTAATATCAGTAGACAAACAGACATGTGTAAGCGAGAAATGTTGACACCCTGCTGTAATTGGATAATTTATTGTTTGCAAATTCATTTAGCACAACTAAGCTTTTGTGACTGAAAACTGAGAAAAGCTGTTGCAATAGGGTTTAGAGGTTAAGAGATGGTACATTTCCGTTGTGAATAAGGAGTAAACGCATTCAAAAGATTTCGCTGAACACAAAATATTTAAGGGTTCTAGCTTTGATGTTGTTCACCCGACTGTCTGTCCTTTTTCATCTTGTTTGGACAATAATTCTTTTAACTTAAAAGACGCAGTGTATGCTCTTTAGGAGTGATACAATGTATAGAAAATGTATCACTTCACTTGAAATCTTATTTTCCACCACTGTGCATTGTTGCAGGCGTTCATTATTGCAGGCGTTCT